TGTCATGCAGAACTGGTGGATGTACATATGGGGATCTTCTTGCTGAAGCAAATCATGGCATTACACCTTCAAATTTGTATGTTTCTGTCCTACTACATGTTGTCAGGCATTGTTCACTCTGTATTAAGCATGCTCGGCTAACCAGCCAAATGGATTCACAAGACATTTCTTATGTTGAAGAAATTGGTCTGCAAATTCCATCCTCAAACTTGTGGTTGAAGTTGCCATTTGCCAGGGATGATTCTTGGCAGCGTATTTGCTTGCGCCTTGGTAAACCTGGAACCATGTGCTGGGATGTAAAAATCAATGACCCTTATTTCAGGGAATTATGGGAACTTCATAAAGGAAGTACCACTACATTGTGGGGCTCTGGTGTACGTATTGCCAATACATCCGAGATTGATTCACACATCTGTTTTGACCCAGAAGGTGTTGTCTTGAGTTATAAGAGTGTTGAAGATGATAGTATTCAGAGGCTTGTATCAGATTTACGTAGGCTTTCAAATGCACGATTATTTGCTCATGGGATGCGAAAACTAATTGGTTTGGGCACTGATGATAGTAGTGATCATATAACAAACTTGGACTTGAAGGTACAAACTAAAGGTACTGGTGACTTGGTAGATAAGTTATCCGAACAGATGAGAAAAGCCTTTAAAATTGAAGCAGTTGGTTTGATGAGTTTGTGGTTTAGCTATGGCTCAATGCCCGTGATAGTTCATTTTGTTGTTGAATGGGAAGCTGATAAGGATTGTTGTACGATGCATGTTTCCCTTGATCAACTTTGGCCACATACAAAGGTACATCCTTTTTCCTCAAAAAACATTACTACTGCATTTTTTTTTCTTTGATAACATCTCACTCCAGACTGGCACAAGAGTACGAATGTATTATAGGAGTTATTGAAGTATACAATACTGCTTCAATTTTCTTTAGGTTTATATTAAATTTGCAGGTTGAAAGTGGTTGATGGTACCACGATACATTAATGATTAAATGATTTCATTTCTGCATTTTTATTAACCTGAGATGACCTTTGTTACCGTAAAATTTAGATGCAGCCTTTTTCAGGTTCTTCGATTATATTACAGGCAATGTGCAGAATTCAAGTAAATAAACAATATCTTGAAAAGTGTCCAGCATCAATGTGCTCCTTTTTCGTGGTCATGCAAAAATATTCTGTTTCATATTAAATCTGTTTGCTTTGTTGACAGTTTTATTCACATAACCTATACTGATTTTGATGCATTGCTCATGTATCAGTCTGATCTTGATGCAGAATTTTTAGGCAGCCATGAGATAAATTTAGTTTGCAGTTGAACTTTTCCTTTACATGTTAATTAGATGATTGCATATCACACTTGTTATGGTTATATATTTGATTGTTTATTGCATGACATTTGATGTTTGTTTTGAAAGTTTAATTTCATTTTAATTTATCTGTGCAGTTTTTGGAAGATTTCATTAATGGAGGTGAAGTTGCATCTTTCTTGGACTGTATCCGTCTTACTGCTGGTCCTTTACTTGCTCTTTGTGGCGCAATACGTCCTGCACGTATACCTGTTCCTGTTTCTGCTGGTCATTCTCTTGTACAAAAGCAGAACAATTTCATGTCATCTCACGGATTAATGGCAAATCCTTCTGCAACTGCAATCCAAGTTTCATCTAGTGCTGCTGCAACTACTACACTTATGACCCAGCTTGGCAGTAACAGTCTTCAAGCCGCCGCAGTTTTATCAGCCACTGGAAGAGGTGGGCCAGGACTTGTTCCTAGCTCTTTATTACCTTTTGATGTCTCAGTCGTCCTGAGAGGTCCATACTGGATACGCATAATATATCGTAAGAAGTTTGCCGTGGATATGCGCTGCTTTGCTGGTGATCAAGTTTGGCTACAGCCTGCAACACCTCCTAAACGAGGACCTGCAGCTGGTGGATCGTTGCCATGTCCACAATTTCGGCCATTTATTATGGAGCATGTTGCTCAGGGCTTGAATGCTTTAGAGCCTAATTTTTCTGGTGCATCACATGCTGGTGTGCAGCTTGGTTCAAGCAATGCCAATGTGAATTCAGTCTCTCAACCGCTAGCACCTAATACCAACCGTGTGAATTCTGCAACTGGTACTGGAACATCAAGATCAAATTCTGTTCTTGGAAATCCGGTGGGTGGTACCATAGGTCGAGCTGGCAGTGCCATGCTAGCCTCTTCAGGGCTGGCTTCTGGGATCTCTGGGTTACCATTACGTATATCTCCAGGTACTTGTTTTCCAGTTCATGTGAAAGGAGAGCTTAACACAGCTTTTATTGGGCTTGGAGATGATGGAGGATATGGTGGTGGTTGGGTTCCCCTTGCAGCCCTCAAGAAGGTGTTGCGTGGCATTCTCAAATATCTTGGTGTATTGTGGTTGTTTGCACAGTTGCCTGATCTTATAAAAGAAATTCTAGGAATTTTAAGGGATAATGAAGGGGGACTTCTGAATTTGGATCAGGAGCAACCTGCCTTGCGCTTTTTTGTCGGGTGAGAGATTTATTGCCCATGTATTTATATTGTATTTATATTGCAACCATTTGTGATGCTAAGGGATGAAACTTCTGTTTTATAATTATTCGTCTTTCACACTAGCTACATTGATTAGACTTTATAGTCAACTTCTATTCAAGTTTTCAAAGCCATTGCATAAGTTTTTGGGGCAACAAATACAACAAGAACAAGAAATCATACCATCATAGTTACGTTGATTTTTGTTTCGTCTTTTGCTACCTCAGTTGGGATTCCCTACAGTTGATATGACTGACTGAATGTATTTGCTTTGTTTTGTTCTGTAGAAGCTACGTGTTTGCTGTGAGCGTTCACAGAGTTCAACTTCTTCTGCAAGTTTTGAGTCTCAGACGGTTTCACCATCAGCAACAACAGCAGCAGCAGCAAAACCAAAGTGCCACTCAGGAAGAACTAGCCCCTGGAGAAATTAATGAGATATGTGACTACTTCAGCAGGCGTGTCGCATCTGAGCCCTATGATGCTTCTAGGGTTGCATCCTTTATTACACTTCTTACCCTACCCATTTCAGTCCTTCGAGAGTTTCTGAAGCTGATCTCTTGGAAGAAAGGATTGTCACTGGCACATGGTGGAGACATAGCAACTGCTCAAAGGTCCCGTATTGAATTATGCTTAGAGAATCACTCGGGCTCTGTTTTAGAGAACTCAGAGACCACGTCTTGTTCAAAAAGTAATATACATCATGATCGAGTCCATAATCTAGTAGATTTTGCTCTTACCTTTGTCCTTGACCCTGCCCATATCCCTCACATGAATGTTGCTGGTGGAGCTGCTTGGCTACCATCCTGTGTGTCTGTAAGACTAAGATATTCATTTGGTGAGAATGCCCATGTTTCTTTTCTTGCAATGGAAGGAAGCCATGGAGGAAGAGCATGCTGGTCGCGACATGAAGACTGGGAGAAATGCAAGCAGAGGATGACCAGAGCAGCAGAATATGCCAATGGGAACTCGGCAGGTGATGCCAGTCAGGGGCGGTTGCGGTTGGTTGCTGATGCACTGCAGAGGACATTGCAAGTAGCACTACAGCAGCTGAGAGATTGCTCTCTTTCCTCAAGTTCCATTGGAACTTAACCACTTCCCTCCGGAAACTTCATCAATGGAAGTTTCTGCATTAGACCTGTGCATCATAGGCTGATTCAGTAGTGCCTCATCCAACGCCGACAATCAGGCATCCTGGATTCCTTTTATCCGGAACATGAACCAAGTGTTTGATGATGGTGGAGAAGTTTGAGGTGGAAGTGCTTCCTAGTTTGTCTGCATCGGACATGTAAATTTTGTGCGTGTATAGTTCATCTAGTGGAGTTAAAAGTAAAGGAGACCTGATTTTTTGGTTCCATGATCAACCGGGCATGTGGAATGTGCACAAAGCGAGCAAGGATCTTTGGAAAATCCTCTGGGGTTTTGAATCTTATATAGCTTAACAAGGATGTAGCTGCATAACCTATGTTGGGAGTGTGTGTTAAACATTTCTAGATCCCTTTGTTAATCAGGGAAATCACCAGTATGTAACAAGTTATGTTGTCATTGACTTTTTCTTTAGCTCTGGTGTGGCATCAGTGGAATCAGAGGGTTTGTCAATGTGATAGGTTTGCTCATGTTTGTTAATGTTTTTTCTTATTTTCCTTGTTTTCAAAGATTCATTGTCTCCAGATCAAGTATTTGTAATTGAAGGTTTTGATTCAACAATTTTTGATAAAAATATATCAGATAGATACTTCACTGTCTCCTATGAGGTCTTTAAATTTTTTTTTTCTCTCTTTACATTAATGATTGCAGTGAAAAGATGATGGTGGTAATGCATGGCTGGTGGTGAGAAATATTTTGGTGCATACATTTTGAGCTAACATCTAAATGGCTGTTGCATTCCTCCTTGATGAATGGAGAAAGTGAGATCACATTACTCCTTGTTTCATATATCTATATAGGACAATATACTGTTAGGTAAGAAATTATCTAAATGACCAACAAGACTATGAAATACAAAATAAGATGTTAAGACATAAATAGCAATAAGAAAAATAATAAGCAGGTGTTAGATTAATACAAAAGGAATAAAATACAGACATATATAATTACATTACACCCATCACAACTAACCAATGTAATCATTGTGCCAAATACTGCAGCAATCATCAAGTAGACTACTAATGGCTTATGACATGTTAGGGATAGACTTGCACTGCACTCTCCAAAAACCTAATTTAGATACCAATTGCAAATTGGTGTTGTAGCAAAATGGCTTTATCTTATGGATGCTTGTAAAAAAGCAGAGCAGAGACTTTGTAACTGAAAACATCAAGGCCACCCACATAAAGAAATGACAAGTTCTATGAAATATTTGACTGATGCAATATGTCAACATCACAAATTCATCAGCTCAAAGAAGCTCAAATTGTAATGCTCTTGGATGCATAGTGTTGGATAAAACTTCATGCTCCAATTTGTCTTAAGCAGACTCCTTGATGAATGGAGAAAGTGAGATCACTGCCTCCCCTATTGTCAGGTAAAGGGAACCCACTCCAAGAAACTCATGTATTTTATTTGCTCTTTGAAGTTTCTCCATGACTTCTCCCATTGGATTCACAAAGATAACCTGCAATCAGATGATACTGTCTTCAGGAGTCAAGATTCAAGAATGTGATGCAGAACCAGCTCAAAAGAGTTCCATTTGTGAGTACCTCAAGGCCATCTTTCTCTGTTGACTTCTTTAACTCATTTAGAAATGTGATTCCACTGGTATCCACTGTTGGCACAGCTGAAATTTATTCCTAATATGTTAATATAACATTGATAAATACTTTTTTTGTTTTAAGGCTACATTTTTCCAAGTATAAATAAAACACAGTTTTCTTTCTTTATCTCCAATACTTTGTGAATAAGATTATGATGCATAAAACACAACTTCATTACTTTGATTAAGATTATGATGCATAGAATAGAAGTTCTTTTGTTAATATTTTCTAGAGATGGAAATATGCAAATTAACACTGTAGCATTGGTAGGTGTTATGGATACATGCTACATTTACTTTTAACAAGACTAACTTTTTTCATATATATATATATATATATATATGTGTGTGTGTGTGTGTGTGTGTGTGTGTGTATAATTGCCAATTTTTATAGAATTTCGAAAGCAAAATTACCTAATAAATTCATCAGCTTCACTAATTTGTGGTGGATGAAAAGAAGGTAGAGTAGATTTAGAATGTTGACATTGGATCATACCTGACAAATCTAGGATTAGAAACCGAAGACTAGCTTCTTTATCTTCCATGGTGGTTTCATTGGTTTCATTCTCTATCCACCTTGTTATCCTGCAAACAACAAGCAATTCACATTCGAGTTTAAGCCTAACTTTTATGTTCTTCGACACACAGAATTAGGAGTCACTGCAACATGCCTTTCGTTCAGATAAGTGGTGTTGGAGAAGTTAATGGGGGCTTCAATGGCAAGAATGAGGAACCCAGGGACTCCTTTAGCTTCCTTGTACTGATGCATGTCTCTGTAGATACTCGTCCCTGGAATGTTACCTACGGCAATCATCTTTGGTCTTGTGATCTGGAGAAGGATCCTAAATGTCGACAAACCAATCTACACTCACAACGATTCAAGAGAAATATCGGCAACAATTTTGGACGATGAGATGCAATTAACATGCCATTATTACCGCGGTCGCAAGGCCCTGTTGCACCGAGACGAAGACGACGCCGAGGAACGAAGACAAGCAGACAAGGAAGTCGACCTTATCCAGCTTCCATATGTTGCATGCGGCGGGGACGTCGACCAGGCCGACGACTGCTGCGATTATGATGGCGGCGAGCACGACGTTTGGGGTGTAGGCGAACAGGGGCATGAGGAGGAGGAGCGTCACCATCACCGTCGTCGCCATCACCACGTTCGACATGGCCGTCTTGCACCCTGCGTTGTGGTTCACAGCCGAGCGGGAGAAGGCGCCTGAGATAGATCCATGTGTAGATCAGCCTCCTCTGGGTGATCTCGTATCGGACCGCATGCTAGTGGCGTGATCGATTACCCGTTGAGACGTAGCAGGAGGTGCAAGAACCCACGATGTTCATCAGTCCGATGGCCATCATCTCCTTGTTCCCGTCGACCTTGTAGCTCCTCAACGAAGCAAAGGTTCTTCCACTCGCGATTCCTTCCTGTGTCAGCACATGGATCAGCATGCTTGTTCGAGCATGTTCTTTCTTGATGGCTAGAAGAACTCACAGCGAGGGAGATGATCCCTGTAACGAGCCCAGTTTTCATGGTGGCGCTCAAGTGGGTACCGTCGAACAGTAATTTGTCCCACGATGGACGATTCAGGCCACATCTCAGCTTCCCGATCTGTACAGTAATGAAAGGAAGATTGGAAACAGGGCTCACCAATGAGAGAGAAGGGACATGGGATATGGGACTGACAGTGCTGATTCCATGATTCTGAGCTTTGAGCAGGAAGACTACGAGTGTGGAGACGATGACGGATGCCAGTGGAGCTCCAACTGAGATCCAGTACAGCTTTGGCCTTCTCATGCCCTGCATCAGATCATCCACTGCACGTTGGTTAAGGATGTTGACTATATCTATATCTCCCGCTGTGATCATCATTACTTCATCCATGGATTTATGGACATGGATGTGTGAGATCCAGATGATAAGGTACGGAACATGTTGTTTGTACATGTACGTGTAGACAAAAGCAAGCAGGACAAGATCTAGAGAGATCATACCACGTGTCTCGCCAGTAGCAGGAAGGCCAGGAAGCAGATCCCCATCGCTGCCGTTTGCCATGACCACTGCACCCAAACAAAGCAACATCTGAGGAGGAGGAGAAGGAGGGGGGGATGTTAATGGAAGCAAGAGATGGACCTCATTGGTGTTGTGGAAGACAGAGCTCATCACCGGAACCACGCCCATCTTCTTGGTGAAATGGACGATCCCCAGGAGGTTTCTGAGCTGCTGGAGAGAGACTATGATGGCAGATCCGGCCATGAACCCGACCAACGTAGCTTTGGACAGGAAGTCGATGATGAATCCCAACCTTACCGACACCACAGACATGAATCCAACATTCTCTGTTATGACCACAGAATTCGCCATGCAACGAACCCTGACCTTAATATCCCGAGAGACGCTTGGAAGAGGCCGGCGAAGAAGGTGGCGGTGAAGGCCAGCTGAAGGAAGAGGTAGGGGTCGGTGTTGGGGTTCGCCACCTGCCGCAGCATCGACCCCATTACGAGCGACGCGATGGACACCGGCCCGACCGCGAGATCCCTCGAGCTCCCCAGCACCGAGTACACCAGCGGCGGCACGAAGCTCGTATCTACCACCACCGTCGCAACATGTAACATACATACATGCATGCATGCATGGCACAAAACCCCAACCCTACTGCTCGAGAGACTTACAGAGGCCGACTACAGGAGGCAGACTCGCGAGCTTGGCATAGCTGATTCCCTATAGAGCGCGCATCAACTCACGTCACCTCCTAACGCAGAAAGATCCATCAAGAACACAGCAAAAGAGAAGGAAAAGGTAGATGGTTGCCTGTGGGATGGCTAAGCTAGCGATGGTGAGCCCGGCGACGAGGTCGGACTTGAAGAGGGAGAAGCTGTAGCTTGGAGCCCAGTCAAGGACCGGAAAGAGGTACTGAGCCGCGAGCACCCACTTCCTCTTGAGTGGCTGCCCTTTGAACCGGCGGAACGGGTCGTCGGGGAAGAAGGTCTCCTTCATCCTCACCTTCATCTTGTCCACCGTGCTCTGTGGTGGCGGCTCGGCCACCCTGTGCACCGCCTCCGACGTCTCCACCTGTCCCTCTCCTCTCCTCGTGCACTCCCCCTCCATCTCAATTTGCTCCGTCACAACCGTAAACAAGTCTCGGGACCTCTTCTCTTACGGAGTCCATTCGATCTCCTCTTGCATTTAAAAGCCTTGTTTCTCTATCTAACATCCGTAGAAAGAATGCTTGGGGACAAAAGGAGAAGGTGGTGGGGAGGAGGAAGGGAGAGATGCATGGGATGGGAGGAGATGCATGTAGAAGATCCATAGAATATGCTAAAAGGATGAGGAAATTCTTGTATGGATGTGTCAATGGTCGAGTCCTCTACTCATTCATTATCTAAGCATCTTCTTCTTATCTCTTCCCCATCTTATATCTACGATTTTAATTAACTTATCATGCTCTCATTACAACAATTCGACGGTGATATAAAGGACTCACTCAAGCTTCACTTTAACTCGTTCGTATACGTTCACGTGGCTGCTGCAGCGAGTTGGATGTAATGCATCGACAAGTGTGCCATGGAGTTTCTCTAACACGAGGATGAGGAAGCTGGTGTTCAATTTTAAAGAATATCTTTGGAAGATTCTAAATTTTTTTATTTTTATTTTTATTATCTTTTAAATAAATAAATTAAATAATTTTTAAAAAATTAATTTATATTATTATTTAATACCTATAAATAAATGACATCTACATATTAAAATCACTAAGTCTAAGCGTTGAAGATTATAGGATTGAAGTGAAAGAGTACTTCAAGATGTTATATATATATATATATATATATATATTTTTTTTTTTTTTAATTTTTGTCTTTATTTGGTTTCATCTTGGTTAATAGTACTTTGTTATTGTTATTTGATATAGTATTAGAGAAATAAGTATTTCAAAATCTAATAATCTTTTTCGATATATTAAATTTTTTAATCAGTTATAAAATTTGAAAGATTTGTTTGGAGTCCTATTTCATATTGAAATTCGACATCCTATCTATAGGATGTGGTTGCTGGTAATGCAATAACAGCACCATAGATGAAGATGTCATAAATAGATTGAATATATGAAATATAAAAAATAAATTTATATTAAAGAGATATATTTTTTATTATCTCTTTTAACATATTATTGATTACAAATCAACATAAGAGATTTGACAAATACTATCTATATGATCTCTCAAATTTTTAGCATTGTTGAAGATTAAAAATTTATGTTTAGAGATATCACTCTTAGATCCAAATAAATCTATTTGTTATATTATTTCTGATGCATGAATAAAATGTTATATTATTTATGATCATCGAAAAGAATAATTTTTTATGATTAAAAAATCTTCTTATTTCTTATGAATCCGTAACTCATTAAACGGTGAGAGAATCTAATTCATCTACTTTAGGGGGAGATAAAGATATTTTTTTTACAAATAAGAAAAAAGTAATGATAAAGTTAAAGAGAAAGAAGGATATGCTAATAGTAAGCTAAAGTCTTCTTTAAACAATAGGTCTACAAAGTGAAAAGTGAAGTATAGATCGTTAGAAGACAAGACTAAAACTTGTTGCACAAACGTTTTATTTAAAATATAGAGAAGATTATGAGAAAATCTTTAGTCATGTGGGAATGTCTTCCTATATAATAAAATTGACAAGGATATTCATACAACAACCACCACGGAGATATACTTTTATTTTCAAACCAAATCTCTTACCAAAGAATCATTTGAAGATCTTCAAATCAAGCTGGGATTTATATCCAAAAGTATATTAAAGGAAAATATTAAAATTTAAAGTATATATTTTTAAAGATTTTAAATTATTATCTTTTAAATAAGT